AACCCGTTAGGGTCGGGTTAGGGTTAGATGTTTCCAACCCGCAACCCGTTTATAACCCAACCCGTTTAACCCGTCACCCGAGTTGACCCGACCCTAACCCGACCCAACCCGCCTGTTTGCCAGGTCTACTCCTCCTCTCTAGATTCCAATCTCCTCTCCTCTGCGTAGACTACGCTGTAACTCATTGGCTCTATAGTTCCCTGGCTTTGTTTCTTTTCTTCAATCTATTAATTTCCTTCAACCTATAATTCTTGGCAACCTTCAAAAAGTCGTGCCCATAGCTCTGTTTCTATTCTTCAATCTGATATAAAGAATTTTTTCTAAAATTTTGTTAACTTGGGGCACCTGTTTTTGTTTTTGTTTTAGGAAGTTATTTCCTCAACTTGAAATTATTGATCAAGCTTAGTTTAAGTTGCTACTGCAGAGTTTGCCTTACTGGATTGGATGGATGTGTACGCATGTGCCACTTACTAGACTCTTTTATGTCCATTTTCTTAATGAACTTATTGTTGGACATCTATGGTAATAGTTTATGCATTTTTTTTTTCTATGAACTTTGTTGAATCTAGACTTGTGTAACAGTTGCAATTTATGGCCCTTTTTTTATGAACCTTTTGCTGGATTTGTTAGACTTATATAACAGTTTATGCCTTTTTTTCTTTATGAACTTGTTATTGACTTGCTAGACTTGCTAGACCTGCTTGACATGTATATATTAGCTGTGTATATTTACTGCTTGTTTGTTTGTTTCAAATTTTTATTTTTGTATGATTATTTGAGTTAGTTTTATTTAATGAATGTGAAAATTAGTTGAGTTTAAGTAGACCAATGTTAAAATTAATTTTGATTAATAAACAGCAGAGCAGGTGATAATTTTATTTGCAAAGAACTTCAAATACCAATGAGACCTACCATTCCTCATAAGTTTGGAGACGGAAGTTATTTTTGATCCTCTATCAAAAATCTCCGTATCCATCATTAACGAAAATGAATATGAAGAGGGGCCCCACCCCGTGGAGACCCGTTGCCATATCTGTTCGTATGCATTGCTATTCTATTGATTAGTCTATTTTATATATATAT